GGCCGCGGGCGGGTGCTGCTGCCGTCGGGGCGCCGGTCCCCCGCGGTCCTCTTACCTCCACGCTTCCCTCTCTCGCAGGCCTGCTTCGCCTCGCTGGTGAGCCAGGACTACGTGAACGGCACGGACCAGGAGGAGATCCGCACCGGTGAGGCCCCGGGCTGAGCCCTCCGGCGGGCTGCGGTTCTGTTCGGCAGGCTTTGGACAACCCGCCGGGCGGCGGGGGTGGTTCTGTTCGGCAGGCTTGGAACGCCCAGCGGCACGGCTGGGGTTCCCAATCTATGGTCGAATTCTCCTAAAACGTGTTGCGGATTTTAGCAGGCGCGTTTGGGCTGCGCCGTGGTTATGTGCTCTGTCCTTTGAGGCCAGAAGAGGTTTAGAAGCTATTTCAGGGTCTTTGAACGGTGACTCTGGCATAAGTTAGGGTTGATCGCCGGTTCCCCAATGGAACAGTGTTCACAGCAGTGGGGGCCTCACACGGAAAGAAACTCAGCCGGCAACGATCGGGGTGTTGGGGAGAGGCCCGAGTGCCGGCGGGCCCCTGGGGCTCTGCGGGCTTGTTGGCAACATGCAGTGGAAAAAGTAGGAAGCGAATGCGACGCTTCATGTATATGAAGCAATTCTAAAAGGAGGGAAAGGAAAAGCTAGATTGCTTAGGAGCAGGGATTTAAGACTTGCATGGGAGGCTTAACACTGAACCGATATAAGCAGGAAGTTAAAAAACGGCTGTCAACTACTTTTTAGAAGAGGCGTTTTTCCTGAAAAATTTCTTAAGCCTGACTCTCAGGCTTTCTTTTGAAGACAGCATAAACACTTCTGAAAAATACTTCATACGCTGTTCATATGCTGAAATGGGACAGCTTTTGTTACCAAAACAGTAGTGCAAAATATATGAAGGCAGAACATTCTCTTGAAAATGCCCGTCTTCTAGAACCTTACATTGAGCTTGTTGCTTGGGCATACAGTGAAATGTTTTCTTTATTCAACCAAGTTCCACAAATTATTTTAACACTCTTTGTCAAAAATGTAATAAAACTTGGGAAAAAGAGTTGTTGTCTTGCACCTGTAGAAGAAGTTCTGAAAGTTTGCAAAGCAGTGTTTTATACAGAGACTTAATGCACATCCTGGTTTTATAAATATGTCATTTTAGTAAACCTGAAGATTTACTTTCTAGAAAGTACTGTGAAAAGTGTTCTTAATAGCATGCAGGTAACTACGGTATCAGCCTGATAACTTCTTTTTCGGAATCTCTTCTTTCTGTGTTACTATTTTATGTTTAGGTGTTGATCAGTGCATCCAAAAGTTTCTGGATGTTGCAAGACAAACGGAATGCTTTTTTCTACAAAAACGACTGCAGCTATCAGTCCAGAAACCAGAGCAAGTAATTAAAGAGGTATGTTTAAATTAATTTACCTGTATTGTTCTAGGTCAGGTAAGCGGAGTAGCAATACAGTTATTCACCTCATTCACATTAGTTTTGGGTTTCTCAACATGATGCTACATCTTAAGTCAGTAGAACTTGACTGTTAACATAGCGCTCTCACCATGAACCTGGAGAAACTGGATGCCTCCTGCTCTGTGGAATACTGGAACACAGATGATAGTTTCATTGGCAGAAACAAACTAGTTAGTCAAATTTTGCTGGAAGTAACGGTCTCTGAAATACATCACCTAGGGGAACAGAACTAGTGCATTCATAGTGCTTTCTCTCTGTTTGCTTAGAAACTTTCCCATTATTAGAATCCCTATACGATCAGCTTGAACTCAAGCTAAAAAAATCATGTGCTCGTTATGTGAAGTGGTTATTCTTAAGAATACTGTTTACTAAGAAACGTTTTCTATTTACTAAGACACGTTTTTTCATCCACAGGATGTCTCAGAATTAAGAAATGAATTGCAGAGAAAAGAAGCCTTAATTCAGAAGCATTTGGCTAAGCTGCGACACTGGCAACAGGTCCTGGAAGATATCAGTGTACAGCACAAAAAGCCTGCAGAAATGCCTCAGGGTCCATTGGCTTACCTAGAACAAGCATCTGCTAATATTCCTGCTCCAATGAAGCAAACATGATCTTTGATTTTACATACCTGAATATTTTCAAGTGTTCTTTTTAACTTGTATGCTTTTTGTATAATGTAATTTGTACTACAAATATAAATAGTGAAGACAATTAAGCAAAATAAATCTTTTTTTTCTTTTTTTTTCCAAAAATATGGATAGGTTTTATATTTCAGTGGAAAATCTGTGGAGTTGCTATTCAGGATGCTTGCAGGTAGAAGTGTGCTTTTCCAGAATGCATCCTGTTCCTTGTAGAAAGAGTGGCCCTAGCTTTCCCCTAACTATACCTTTGCTGGTATGATGAAAATACTTGCAAAGATTACTTTTGGGTTTTACTGGAAGATTTAAATGTTTTATTATCCATAAGTATCACTGTAGAAACACCCTTAGAATTGTCTGTATCTAGGTCAGATCAAGAGTGTACTTTTTTTGAAGTGAATTGTCCATCTCCACTGGACTTTTGCTGACCTCATTAAGGGGTCTTGGGGATATACAAATTGGATTCTTAGAGGATGAAATGAAACTGCAAAATAGATACCTCTGGGGTGATATGGAACGCAGGCCTAATGTTACTCATCTACTGTCTGTCAGGCTAGTGTAGAGATGGTCCAAAATACCTATCCCCAAAATAAAGACCACTCATTGTGGACTTGGGTCATCAGCACTGTCCAGTCTACAGAATTCACTCCTACTGGGGTGCACTATTTAGTAATCTAAACATAGCCAAAGAAAGATTTTGGAGATAAAAATAGCAAAGGAATCCTGTATGTATTACTAGGCAACAAGCTTCATTCATGTAGCCAGGAAAGCCACTTCATAGGGACACTTGTTTTGGGGAACGAGTCAATTAGGATAATTGTAACCCTGGAAATTAGAATTAGTAATTGTGTATTGAACTTCCTAGCATGCTTCAAAAGTTTTTGGGGCATAGTGGATGAAAACTCTTGATGAAAAACTTGGCCCTGTACATTTCTGATCCTTTCACAGACACCAAGGCACTCAGTGGTACTGTACACCATTTTATCCCCTTCTCGGTTGCATGTATAAAAAGTGTCTTTTTGCCAAATCTGATGCCAAAGTCTTCCAAACCAAGCCATTCACCTTTGAAAAAATACTGAACATCTGGGATGAAAGTACTGGCCTGTAGAAGCATTCTGCGTCTTCTGACACCTTTTTACCATGGCTGAGGTGCAGTGGCTGTTCAGTAGTAAGCACTTGCATCTGTTGGTACCGTTGTTGTTGGCTGACGGGAGACGTTAGGCTGGAGGTATTCCATTTCGCACAGGTAAAACTGTAGCCGGGCCCTGCTAGTTGAAATTAAATGGGGATTCAAATCATAGAGCAGTTGCAGGTGAACTATCTTACCTTCAACACTAGGCTGCTGGTTGCACAATTCCCTGCTTTTCACATTGGTTGATGAATTAGCTGTGGGTTCATTTCTTCATGGGTGTCTTTCCTCCCAGTAATGAGTTAGCTAGCATGACCTGATAAATGTAGTCATTGGCCCACTTCGCGTTTTGGTGGGTATAGGAATGTTACGGAGATAAAATGTGCAAGTATGCAGTTCCCATAAATCTGGAACTGAGTGCATCGGTCTGTCTTGCACTTCAGCATAACAGCACTATTTTGCAAAACATGGAAATGGATGATTTACAAGCAAGTTTTAATGTTCATACTTACATATTATCCTGATTCATCAGGCTGATTGTTACATGTATTGAAGTGCAACAGGAATATTATATTGCAATGCTGACTGTACAAAACAGTTTATTAAGCAAACCACAAAGTATTTCTAAACCAGCTTGCTATAAACATGCTACTCTTGGAAGTATACCACATGCTGTACAGCTTAAGTTCAACAAAAACCTATTAAAATTTTTAAAAATTACATTATTATATGCAGAAATTATTTTAAACAGCTGATGAACCAAATGTGTAAACGTACAGAAATCACCTACAGAAGTAATCTATTTTTTCAGCTGGAGTCAGATTGACAGGATGTATCCAAGACCAAATCGCATATTCAGTGTAATTGTGGAATGGTACAGTCTCTTGATTAACAAGTCTCTTCACATAATAGTATCTCAAATTTTTTAGATTCATTTTTTACAGAGGTTGTTAAAAAAACGTATTTTTCTGAAATCCATGCCTATAACTCCATAATAATTAGATGTAAGAGAGTGCAATTGTTCCTAATTATTTACTTGGAAATAACATCTTTTTTCTTCTAAATCATGTATTAGATCATTCCCTAAAAGAAAACAGGAACAGCTTTTCTAGTAACTCTGAGAAGTATGGAAATAGTTTGCTTTAAAATGAAAAATACTTAGTAAACCATTCTTGATGCTGAGGGTCTTGTTTTTGGTCATCTTTGGTTTGTGGTGGTTCATTGCCATATGTCCTGTGCAAACAAACAAGCATTAGCATGACTTACAATCTTATAAATATTTAATACTTTTTTTCCTGGAAAAACTCATGATCCCATGAATGAATCTGTGCTCACATGAACTGGATGAAGCCAAAAGGTGCCAGCTACAATTTCTAGTGGGATCTGTGCTAGCCGGGTGACGGGGCTAACAGCATTGGCCAGTAACACAAAGGAAAGCGTGAAGGGGAGCTACACAGCTATGGAGAAATGTTCAAACATAATTCTTGCCTTGACATCTCAAAAAAAAAAAAAAAAAAAAAAAAGTCTTGAAATGTCTTGAAAATCAGAAAATGGCAGGTGCAATTCACTCTTAAAAATAGGAAATTTTGAGTAAACGTTTTATTTGGAACTTAAGGATTTATCTGACTATTAACTGGCTTTTATAATCAATCCTATTACTTAGTCCCTGATTTTTCAGCATTCAGGATGCGTTTTTAACATTTACGTTAATTTCAGTTAGCTAATAATATTATTATTAGCTACTACTAATAATAGTAGCAAGTGTGACTTCACTTGATTGATTTAAAAAAGTAGCAGCCAAGCTACCTTCAGTCTCCGTGTATGTTTCTGTTTAAAATACAAAACTGATTTGCCTTGGCAGTCATCTGGCATGAGACAGAATGCTTTTATCTTTAAGATGTGGGAACTGCTAAACTGGATCCAAGCCTACGTCCCGGGTTATTGTCCTTGGCAGTAGCCAGCACCATTTACCTTCAAGGAAAGAACTCCATAGCACACACTTTACAGGATAAATAATCTCCACTAGGAGATGGGTGAAAAGACTGGCTTTTGTCCTGAAGTATAGTGGTAGATTTGGGTTTTTTTTTCATATTTATCATTATAAGTGTATAATGTTAACTACATAAAGTTTTAACTATTTCTTGAAGAGAGAGTTCAGTCATGTTTATAAAACATAAAACATTGTTTAAATAATAACTCATAGATTTGAAGAAAAATTCAAGCTTTTCAGAGAAAAAACATCAAACTAAGAAGTTTTTAGTTAAGTATCTGCTAATCAGTTTTTAAGTTTCTAAACCCTTTGCCAAATGATTAGCCTAGGTTCATTCAAATATCTCCTAAAATAAAAATACGCCATCTACGTCTACCAAGTGCAAAGTGAGGAAATAAAAGTAAGGAAACACATCCTTTACAGAACCACTGATATGGGCCTGAAGTTTTAAACAGCCATGTTCACTATTAACTACATTCTTAGTTAAATATTTGCAACTCCTGTCCTTTTTTCGTACCAGGAGGGGTTGCAAGCATAAGCTCTGCTGGGCAGTGATCATAGTCTACTTCTGCAGTAAAGTTCTGGATCTATCTGCAGAGAATTGTACACACGGAGTTCACTGCATGACAGGAACCTTACTCCATTGTTTATTTCCAAATGTCTTACATGTTTAAATTGCCTACAAGATTCTGAATACCAATTCATTTATCATCTTACAAGTCACTGCAAAACAGACAAATACCTTATGGCAGCACTGTTGTCTGAGGACTGTGCTGATGGAGATCCCACCCTGAGGCAGCCAGGGCTCCGGTCTAAGCTTGTAGATTTTGTCATTTGAGGAGCACTTCTTTTTGATCTCAAGTCACAGCTCAAAAAGCTTTTTGCGTAGGAAGCTAAATTCGGAACACTGACAACACGACTGGGCACCTCAACCGTTTTCTTCTGCTGCTTTTTATTGTAATAGAAAACTTCATTACACATCCTTTTTTTATTTTACATTTTATACTATAAAACCTCAACAATACCTCATTCATAGATATCTTGTGAGGAGCACCCAAAAATGAAGATTCTTTTTCTATAGGCATTTAAAATAAATTCTCAGGGTATGCTGTGAGGAACCATGGATTAGGTAGTCCAATTAAAACAACTTGTGTATTTGACTTTGAGGTTTTAGATACATCAAAGCTGATAGCTCTGCAGAGCTCAGTTAGGTGCTTTCTACCAACTTGACCTTCCTTCTTTCCATGACTATTTATAGACAGTATCATACAGAGGGGCTGGAATAACAAAGGGAAAATACTGAGCTGTCTAAACACAATTCATAATTTTCCTCAATGCATGCAATATCCCAAGTAGCAACTCCCAAATCTGCAAGTAATGGCTGTGCTTATCCCAGTGGAATGACTGACATCTTTGGAGTTCTAGTGTTTTGTATTTGCTTAAACAGCTGTATCCTTGTGCATATATATACTTCTACTGAATTTATGTTATACTCAGCACCTGACTGTACGTTGGCTAACCAGAAAGAATTCTACGGAATAAAATTACCATAAAAAATTAATAGGGCCTTTATTGTCCTAATATCTGTATGATTCAAAGAGCAATAAACCATCACAATTTGCAATTTTAATTGCATTGCTCATCTTACCTTCATGGAAGGAGTCAAGCATCCTGTATTAGGGTTGAAAGAAAATGATCGATTCCTGTAAGATTCAATGTTTGCTAAAAGTGAATGCTGAAATTTTCTTCCTTCCTGAGGGGAAAGAAAAGTTACGTGTATGGAAACATCAATTTCTTGGAAGTTCATATGGAAACATATATTTGTCAAATATATTTGTCAAAGTATTCCAGAACATAAAGAAAATATCAGTCTGAAGCAATGTGTGAAACACTGAACAGGGCCTTCCAACAGATGCCAAAATATGTATGTACATATAAAAGGAAATCTTACCACCAGCTG